CAACAGTCAGTTAAATGCTGTCAAATAAAAATAAAATAAAATAAACTGTCAATGAGGACAGTTTCTTTTATTTTGAACTTGAAAACAATTTGCAAATATGATTGGGGTTTGATTATTAGAGGGCTAGGGTGACAGAACACATTTGAAATAAGAAAACCCTCAGTTTCCTGACCTTGTCCTCCCCTTAGCCATACATTTCCATGGCTTTGGATGCTCTGTCCGCATTTTAGCCATCATCAGTGTAAGGATGCAGCTGTGTCCTACCCTTTCAGTTGCTTCTGACAACTTTTCCCACAAAATGCTTTGCAGTCCTTTGTCATTCCTGGAATGAAAAGTCTACTGTTTCCATAATTTCTCTCAATGCCCCAGACCTTTCTTTTCCTATCCAAGTGAATGTTCACTATAATAGCTGGGTAAATTGTGTCCTCCACAAATACATCCAAATCTTAACGTCCAGCATGTCTCTGCAGCTCTAAGGATCTCTGAAGGAGATTATCTTGCATATAGGGTGAGCTCTAAGTCCAATATTTGGCTTCATAAGAGAAGTAAAAAGGAGTTTGAGACAGAGCCACCAGGGTGAAGACCCCGTGGAAATGGAGACAAAGGTTCGATTTAGGTGGTAACAAGACTAGGAACACTATCAAGGGTGACTCAGCAGCTAGCAGAATCTAAGAGGGAAACATGGGACAGATCCTCCCTCAGAGTTTACACGAGCCACCAACCCCGCCAACCTTGTCTTTGGGCATCTTGATTTTCTGCCTTGACCACTGAAAGAGGACAACTCTGCTGTTTAGAGTCATCAGACACTAAACTGATGGAGATTTGTTATAGCACAAATAGAACAGTTAGAAACTGATACAAATAATCTCCCTGTCTCCTTCTTTTCTTTTCACTCATATGGCAAAACTCTAGCCCTCGATGACTCCAACTCTTTATCTGTGGCTGAAGAGATCTATCTATTTGGACAGTGAATGTCACTAGGAAAAGCCACTGGGAATGTGTAGATTCGTTATCTTTCATTTGAAAACAACTTAACTGTGCTTGTTCCCCTTCCTTCCTCTAGGTTAAAAGATAATGCTACTTTTTTTTCTTTTTGGGTCACATCCAACTTTGCACAGGTGTTATTCCTGGCTCTGCACTCAGGAATTACTCCTGGCGATGCTCAGGGGACCATATGGGATGCTGGGAATTGAACCTGGGTCAGCTGCATGCAAGGCAAATGCCCTACCTGCTGTGCTATCGCTCCATCCCCTGGAGATTCTTCTTGTGTTCCTAAACTGCTCATCCTCAAGTCTGTTGCCTAGAGTCTCAATGATCATATCTTGCCCCTCCCTCATGAGGCCCCTCTATCCCTCTGTTGCCTCAGCTTCTGTTGCCTAGAGTCTTAATGATCATATCTTGCCCCTCCCTCATGAGGCCCCTCTATCCCTCCTCTTAGGTTCTCTCCATTCATCCCGACTCATCCAAGTCCTCTTATTTTCCCAAGCATCCTTCCTTGGCTGCCCCAATCAAAGCTGCTACTGGCCAGCCTCTTCCGGTTACTGTGCATGCCAGGAGGCCTCCGGCAGGGTCTGGTTTGCTCACGGTTCTATACCCAGCTTCTGCCAATGCTTGGTATTCAATCAAAGTTCCCTTCTTCTCCCCAGCACTACAGCAATGAGGAATGTAGGAACACTTCGAAGCACAAAGAGAATTTGGGTCTACAGTACACTCTCAGGGCCAAACTTGGCTGCTTGTGACTTTCTGTCAAGAAGAAATAAAAGGAATAACTCAGTGGCATCTTCACAGTTTATTCCTGCCAGTGCTGCATTTTCTATAAATACAGTTCTCATTTTCAAGAAACTTGGAGAAGATGGCTGCAGAAGGCTATTTTGGGGAGGCAACTATATGCACTGTGTCAAAGTGGAGGCAGGCATGGCTCCGTGCCCCTGGGCAGGTGTGGGCTGGGTGGTGCACATTCAGTGCAGGTTCTGCAGAAGCTGGGCCTGTCAGGTTGACTACTCCACTGGCCTGGGGCGGGGCTTGTGGGGGACCAGCCACCATGTACAGACTTCATCCCCAGGCTGGAGTGATAGTATAGCGAGTAGGGCATTTGCCTTGAACGTGGCCGACCTGGGTTTGATTCAAAGCATCCAATATGGTCCCCTGAGCACCGCCAGGAGTAGTTCCTAAGTGCTGAGCCAGGAGTAACCCCTGAGCATTGCTGAGTGTGACCCAAAAAGCAAAAAACAAAAACAGAAAAAAACTTCATTCCTTGAGTGCCTGATTTGGGGGCATCTCACCATGACTGCTTTCCTCCTTCCATTGAGTATGTGGGGATTTCTCCAAGGGGAGCACTGTCCACAGTGATCTCACCACTAGCCAGAGCTCAACCTCAGGGTCTCAATGCTTAAAGCCTTTAAGGAAATTGGGCTTCTGACTGGGAGAAGAAAGAGTTTTGAATTTGCTGCCAGAAACAAGTTCTATCTTTTCAAACTTTCTATCATTGTAAATGCCAAAATTGAGAAACATGTTGAGATGCCAAATTTCCAATGTTCTTTCCCTCTCCCTTCCCCTTTTCCTCTCCTTTTTTAAATTTTATTTCCTTTAGGGATAACTCCTGGAGGTGTTCAGAGGACCATTTGTGGTGCCAGGGATCAAAGCTGAGTGGGTTCAGTGCGAGTCAAGTGCTCTACCCACTGTACTATCTCTCCAGTTCCTCCAGTATAGTTTTCTTACAACTACAAAGCAATATAATGTATAAAGCAACTCTTTGGGGTATCCCTTTGGAGATGTTGTATAAGAACACACAAATCTCACAACTTTACAGTAAAATTATAGCATAGTGAATTCTGGGAGAATAAACTGTGGCACAAATGACAAATGAGGTAGGCATATGTAATGTCCTTCCATGGAGAAAAATAGGTAGAATCTTAAATACAAATGTAAAATATAAAAGTTAATATATGGATATATTCTTCATACTTAAAATGGAGGACATAATTGCACCCATGCAAGGATCTTATGTACATATGCAAAACATATGTAAGCCCAACAGCTAAAATTGGCCAACAATCAATCTTGTATTTTTAATCCCACAATCAATCTTATATTTTTAATATATGACTCTTATACACTCACAGGAAAATTCGAACTTCAAAGTATTACTTGAATACACAAACAATTTATCATGTTGAACGTGCTTATGTTGTCAACTTTTTTTTCCTTTTTGGGTTCAGAAGTAGCACAGAAAATCTCTTTTCCAAAAATAAAGAATACCATTTCTGAATCTAATTAAGTATCAAAAATACTATAGTGTAAACTACTGGCTTAAACAAACAACAAAAAAGTTAAAATAACTTCAGTTATTTCTTCCCTCTGTCATGGTATTAAGGTTTTCTACAGTAGATCCTCTGTCTTTTCTAATTCTTTTTTTTAAAATTTTCTTTTTAAAAAAATTACATATAAATATCACATTCAGCTACCAAATCAATCATTTGGCCATGAAGATCACAAGAATAGTTAATGATTAGAGTACCAAAAGAATTTTTAGGTGTCCAGTGATTTATTAGTACCTAGATATCATTGTACTTGTATCTATCAAAAGTCAAGTTCCCAACTTCTTGAAAAGTTAGCACAAATAGTTAGGTGCCTTTCCATGAGAAACTTTGGGGCTAAAGGCCTATGGCCTTGGAAAATGGACTCTATGAAAGTCTTGGTGAGTCAGGAAGAAATGCTTCTACCAGGCCATTATTCAGGGAGGCAAGCTGATATGGGTTAGTATTTAAATTTTCATGTTTTTGTAAGTCATTCTTCATAGCAAAGTCAGAAAGACCACTGCAAGGGATTGGATGGGACCAGGAGAGCTATTAACAACTTTAATACTCTGTGCAAAGTTCTGCATCAGTTGCTCTCTTTTATTCTTCAAAGCAATTAGCATTAAAATAATCCAGTCTGGACTAATGTCCACATAAAAAGCAGATCATTTCCTACTTCATGACAAGTTTTGGGGTAGGGAGTAAAAGGCAGAAAGCACCTAGAAACAGAGGAGGAGAGAAAGCAGGTTGGGGTTCTGGGAAATGCAAGAAAGATGGATATGAAAATACTGGTATCAACTCGAGGAATGACTCCAGGCACATAGCAGGAAAATCAAAACAGAACAACAATAACCACCTAAATCCTTTCATTATCTCACTGTAAACCTCATGGGGTAAAATCCAAATTTTCCCTATAGAAATTTTCCTTTGTATAGTGAATAATATAAAAAAAATCCAAATACAATGATTTTATACATTTTATCTATGCATAATATGTAATAAATTTATATATTACATATTTTATGCACATATATAATACACAAATATCCACATGAAGTCTCCACAAATACTCAGCCACTATGGTACCATTATTAACCCTACTTTATAGATGAGGAAGATGAGCAATAGAATTTAATAAATAGATCAAGGTATCATAACAACCATGCAGCAGAAACTTAGACTAACTCAGGATACCTTCCACTGCACTAACTTTTCCCACATTCCTCTGCTGTTATCCAGACCACAGATTGTATAGTGATCTCTGTTATTATTATAACACTTCATTTCCACTCTCATATCTTTCCTGCCACATCCAAGAATTACTTCCTGAAACAACCTATTATCTGCCAACAGCCATAGTGCATTTATTTTCTGCTATATATTGACTTTTACCAGAAGAGTGAGAATCAGAATAAACAGGAAGAAATAGATTGTCAATGCTAAAACAGAAGCACTCAATTATATAAAAGATGACTTTCTTAGCTCAGATATTTATGGATCAAATAAAAGTGATCGTTCTTCAATCTAAAAAAAAAAACCTGAGAAAATGCATGGTATCCAAAGAATTATTCAGTGCAGAGGCAATTCTAAGGCATGTTTTTTTTTTAACCTCTGGTATGAAAACTGAATTCTACTAATGAACACACAGAGCTAAAATTCACCAGTTCCAATGAGAAATAAAGCAAAAAAAAATAATCATCTTACCTGCAGATGTATGTTTGAACTTTTCACTTTTCTTCTTCCTCCATTTCCAAGGCTTGAAAATTCTCCCTAGGTTGGCAAACTTACTTCTCCTCCGGATGGGTGGGGTGTGGGTGCCTGGGACGAGGGAGTCGGAACGCATCGCTGCCAGCCTCTCCACTTCCTCAGCTTGTTTTTCCCAAGGAAGAGATGGAAATAGAGAGAGACAGGAGACAGGGGGAAAAAGAGTGTTAAAATGGGAGCCTCACAGATGGCCAACGTTTTCCATGGTTACAGATAACAGAAACCACATGATTCAAGTCCCACTTGCCTTTTGGAATGGGAGTCATACCAACATGTTCTAGAGACTAGAGACAATCAGTCAAACCTAAGTGATGCAAACACCCCATGCAAATTTGCCTGAACTTAGCTTAGATTTGGGAAGGAGGAAGGGGAGGTGGAGAAGGAGGAGGAACTGGGCCCTCTTGACACATCAGACTCCCCCACAAGCAGAAAAAGGGCATCTGAGAACTCAAATGACTATGTATTGGTTCAGCAATTTCCCAACTATGACTTAGCAGATGTGATCAGTGTAACACGGGCTGCTGAGAAGAGAGGAGAGAGAAAAAATTTATCAACTGTCTCTTGCAATGCCAATGTCTCTACCACCCACAAGTCTAGGTCCTCCCGCCCAACTCTACCCAGACAGGCAGAAGCACTAGACTGTGTTGAGTGGCCCCAACTAGGAATGACAATCATCTGTACTTCATTAGATTTTACAACTGCCTTCATTCCACTAGGTCTAAGTTCTTAGCACTTTGCTTTAATAATAATAACAACAATAAAAAAATTTTTTAGAGCTGCGAGCTTAGTGATTTCAGGGCTTTACTGAGAGTTTAGTAATTTCAGGGATCATTGAAGCTAACCCCATAACTTTATGTTTGAGGACATGGGGCCCTTCAAACTCAGAATGCCTCATGGACCCCTCCTCAAATGCCAGAACCACTCTGACTTTATTTTATCACATGGGATAATACATTTTTCCCTATATTTACATACGCCAATGGCTTAAATATAATCTGACTTAAAGTTTTAAGACAGGAGTAACCAGAGAAAAGAACCTCATTGACAAATACCAAGTAGTGATGAGGATTTGCCTTTCCAGAAAATCAGCTTGATTTAGAGCAATGACTGATCCCAAACCACATGATTGGGACAGTTCCTCAGAAATGAGTTCTGGACTTTTTGTTCAACTTTGCAGCAGGGGCATCTATCTGCTATTGTATAAAATGACCATCACTCAGGAGATCTAGATATTCCACAACAACAGACAGAAGCTCCAACAGGTGCCAGAAAGTGTGCTAATGATGCCAGATCATGACAACATGGCAGAGGTTCTTGACAGCAAGAGAACAAGTAAATAAATGGATTTAGATACATAGGAACATTTAGGAAGCAAAGCCAGTGTGACTTACTGATCTAGAAGTTACAAGAATCTCACTGACTGGTGCACATGGGTTAGGCTGCCTGAGATGGCAGAGGCGGGCACAGTAAGAAGCTAGAGGAGTATGGAGACAGACTGAGAAAGTTTTTGAAAGATTTTATTAGACCTCTAGGTTTTGTCTTATATGCACAGGATGAAGCAGATAAAAATACGCACCCCTCTGGGAGGTAGGGTGGAGAACAGATGAACACATATTAAAAATAAGTAATCGGGGCTTGAAGCAATAGTAGAGTCGGTAGGGCAATTGCATTGCCCCTAACTGACCTGGGTTCAATCCCTGGCATCTTATATGGTCTCCCAGTTACTGCCAGGAGTGATTCCTGAGTGCAGAGCCAAGATAAGCCCTGAGCATTTCTGGGAGTGCCTCCCCACACCCCAACCTCCTTTGCTCTGGAGAGGAAAGAAAAGAACAAAGACAACCTGGTAAAGGAGATTTTGTTGCCTCGGCAGAGGGCAGGTTCTTGTCTCTATGGGCCTGATTGAGACAATGTGGCATTTGTCCCCTAGGAATACTGTTCATAGGAATACCAGTGCTAGGACCTGAGCTGGGGCATCAAGAGGAACAAGGAGCTCAGTGACAGGGCTCGGAGGGCGAGGGCAGGGCCCAAGCAGGGCAGTGACAGCAGAGACATAGATTGGGACTTGGAAAGGGACGCAATCAGTCAATACTCTTGGCAACTTTCTAGAAAACGTGAAGGAGGTCAATGAAATCAATATGAGTACACTTTTTGCTTTTTTTCCTGTAAGGATCTTGATGGAGTTTAAAGAACTTTTGAAGACGCAAACTGAATGGCATCTCATTGATGAATTGGGAGTGAGATAATGTGGTTTTTCTCTGAAAGCTGTGAGTTCACAATATATTGTGTGGATGTGGGGCTACTGCAAAGATGCATATGGTGGCCCAGAGCCGCTTCTCATCCTCCCCAGGACTCCCCAGCAGAGAGACAGAGAAATGAAGGATCACAGCCTGATGGTGAAAATGGCCCATTTAATGCAGAGTTGCTAGCATACTTTTAGGACATCTGAGGGATGTTGAGGTAAGGACATAGGTGTGATTGACCATTTACATAGGTAAGCATCTGGAAATTTACGAAGATCATTTACATAGATAAAACTTAGAAAATTTTCTTTGGGGGAGACTAAAGCAAGGAGACACTTTGTCTCCTAGGGACATCTGCACTGCTTTTGTCTTTCACTCAAGTTGTATAAGTCATCAATAATTGCAGTTGTTTGGATAAACACAGTAAGAGACAAAGATCCCAACACTTAGTTCTCTGGGCTCTGAGAGCAAGCAAGTCTTTTACCGTAAATCCTAGACTAAGTCCTCGGGCCAGCTTAGCTTGTCCTTCCCAATAGAGGTCCTATTCTCTTAAGTTATAAAGCTTGCATCAAGACCATGCATTTATGCTTTCTAGAATGTCTTATGTTGATGCGGAGGTAGTACTGCCACTCGCCCCATGTCCATCCCAGTCCCACACCGGAATCTCCCTTTTGGGATGTTAGGAACTACAGCAACTGAAGCCTGAGTCAAGTAATTACGATCAAATAATTATGTCCAGGAGTAGATCGATTTCAGAGTCAATCAACTCCCAAATATTAGGAGGACAGCATTAACGGTCTTTCTGTGTTCAACCAAAGAACATTGCTCTATAGTAAAATATAAAAAGCCTACAGGGGAAGTAGAAAAGCAGGCATCAACACATAGCACTCCAAATACGAAACACAGAATTACCAGAAAGTTTTGGCTCATAAGTAATCAAGACTGACTTGGGAAACTGACAGTGAGAGGTAAAATACAAAGGAAAGGTTGAAGATAAACTTGAACTAAATCAGGGATACTAGCAAGAGCACGGTTAGCTTCTCTGGGAGGAGGAAAAGGGGCAATTCACTGATAACCCAAAACACTTAGGGTTAATTATCCAACAAAAGAAATAGTGAGCTATGCAGACAAGCAGCTGTGCTGCAGGTCCAGGAGAGTGAGAGGCAGAGGATTCTTGAGCGAGGTTGAGAAATACAGGTGACGGCAAGCTCTGGGAGGAGAAAGAGGGGAATTGAAGTACATGGATCAGCATGGGGCCAAGAAAGACATTACTCTGAGTTTAAGAAAGTTGTTTAGTCTTTTTCATTCGTGTTTTGGTATCACCATTGGTGCTCAGAGGCTTAGTTCTTGGGAGTTTCAGCTGGCAGTGCTCAAAGGACCATGTATTGCCAGGGATTGAACCTAGACCTTCTGCTTGAAAAATATGCATTCAGCATGTTGTGCTCTCTCTCAGGACCCAAGTTTAAAAATATTGAACTTGCTGGAGAGATAGGACATTGTGTAGGACACTTGCCTTGCAAGTGACCAATCTGAATTTGCTCTCTGGCACCACATAGGGTATCCTGAGCACTGCCATTTGTGGCCCCCAAAACAACCCCCTCCCAAAAAAAGAAAATGAAACTGGGTTCTCTGGTCCTCAGTGGTGTTACTCAGAGGCAGTAGTGGGGGCTGAAGAATGGTTGGAGGCTGGAGAGGGGATGAGAAAGATGAATGGGGGTTGAAATGAGATTGGGTTTCAGAGTAAATGGAATCCAGATCCTGGGAGGAGCAAGGAGGAAGCCTTTGGAGCTAGAGAATGGCCTCACGGGAAGCATGACTGGGGGTTTTCTCTGTGCCATAAGCACTGGACTTCTCTGGGTTCAATCCTGGAAGGAGCCATATCAACAGTCACCATCACAATGGAGGTTTAGATTCCAGACTGGAAGCAGGTTCAAGAACCTAATGATGTAATTCCTGCAAGGATCTCTTTCTGTCAAATTCAGCCTCCTTTCCCCATTTATTCCTTTATTTAAAATCATATTGTCGCTTTTCCAGATTTTGCAAGTTTCTAAGTCCTCCTTCCTATCCCCAACACACTGTCACCAAACGTATATGATTTTTGTTCCTAGATAACTCCTCTCAAAGATGGTTTCTCTGAAACTCTCCATCACTTCGGACAAGTAGCACTGTAGCAATGTACTCCCATTGTTCATCGATTTGCTCGAGCAGGCACCAGTAACATCTCCATTGTGAGACTTGTTGTTACTGTTTTTGGCACATCAAATATGCCACGAGGAGCTTCCCAGGCTCTGCTGTGCGGACGGGATACTCTCAGTAGCTTGCCAGACTCTCCAAGAGGGACGGAGGAATCGAACCTGGGTCGGCCATGTGCAAGGTAAACACCCTATCCGCTGTGCTATCGCTCCAGTCTTTTGACAAGTACAAGAGGAAATTCTAATCCCCGGGTACTTGGCCGGCATGAACTGTCTAAAATTATGTTCCAGTTCTTTTTTAAACACACATTGCAGCTGGAGTACCACTTCCCCCACCCCGAATCCAGACCATCCCAGAAGGGGTGCAACAGGGTTGGCTATCCCTGAAGTGACATGTAAATGACATGCTTTTTGGGGTATCTGCACAGACCCAAGAGATTTCTATCTTTCACTTAAATCTTCAAACCATTTCTGACACTCAAGGTAAGACTTATAAAGCATTCAAGTCACAGCAACTCTAAGTTCAATCAACCTAAAACATCTGCTGAAGACGAAAGGGAGGGAAACTATACTGAACCTTAAGAATCAAGAAGCCAACCCCTGGGAGAAGCAAGGAGGAAGCCCATGGAGAATGGCCTCACGGGAAGCATGACCAGGCGTTTTCTCTGTGCTA